TATCTCACACCTAAACTTTTATATTTACACACGTACATGCATGAAAATGTGAATTTCACTTTTAAAAAGTGATAATAATGATATTTTTTATCTCATATTAAAGATTGAGTCGGTGTATAAATGTGGAAGTTTAGGCAGGTATGAAATATGTAAGTACATAAGAATTGTTGTCTACATATGTAAAAGTCCCCCATTTTTTTTCAAATGCAGGCTCCTTATTTTCTTTATTCTGAGAATTATGATAGCCGAGCTAAATTTTTCTTCAGGTAGCGTATTAAGTGGCGGGGGGAGTGTGCCTGCTCCCCAGGCATCGGCAGAGGCTTGGGTGAATATGGTAAATGATTTTCAGAAGGGTGCTTTGTCAACACGTCTTGGAATTCCAATGTTATATGGAATTGATGCAATTCATGGCCATAACAATGTTTACAACGCAACTATATTTCCTCACAATATTGCCCTTGGTGCTACTAGGCAAGTGATCTTAAGCTTTCTGTTAAATTATTTTTCAACCTCATTCTGTAATTTAAGAGTTAATTGTCTGAAGAAGGTTTTGATGGGTATATCTCAAATTATCTCTCTAAGAAATTGAGCAGATGATTTTTTTTATTGTTTTAATCTTGAAAAAAGCGTACTGCTAAATAATTTTTAAGTTGAGGATTGATGCCTTTACTAGAAATTTATATGATAGCTTGATGAATGAAACCATGAACACCCTTTAAGTTTAAAACCTATAATCTAACCGACATGAGCCGAGAAAATCTGTTGTTGAAAGTCCTGTACTTATTAATTGTAGCATATATTGAGGGGGCACAAAGTCAGACTGAAGTCATCATTAAGATGAGATATATAAATATTATCATAATTTTGTTATGATTTTATGCTATTATAGGGATCCTGAACTTGTGAAGCGGATTGGTGCAGCAACTGCTCTTGAAGTGAGGGCTACAGGCATTCCTTACACATTTGCTCCATGCATTGCAGTAAGCAATGTTTCAACTACAATATTACAAGTTTACCTTTTGTCTGTTATATTATTGCCAGGAAGTAATTAGTTTTCTTTGCGTTTTTTAGATTATTCCTAGGAAGTTGGTTAAGTAATTACACTCATCCTCTCTGCTTCAGGTTTGTAGAGATCCTAGATGGGGTAGGTGTTTTGAAAGCTATAGTGAAGACCACAAAATTGTCCAAGCAATGACTGAGATAATAACTGGTCTACAAGGAGATGTCCCTGCAAACTATAGAAAGGGCACTCCCTATGTTTCTAAAAAGTAAGATCTAAATTCCAAATATCAAGATTAAAATTCTAAAGCAGTCCCATTGCCACCCGAGCTATTATTTTTAGTTGATATTAATTAGTCAATTTCCCTTTCGTTTCAAGTCCTTCAAATGATTAATGAACCTTTCATTGCTACTATATCTTTTATTTTTATTAATTGAGTTAGGCTTTGCACTGTTGCACAACTTATTTTACCTGACAAAATAAATAAATCATATGATACAATTGATTAATCAGTGACAAGGTTGCGGCCTGCGCCAAGCACTTTGTTGGCGATGGTGGGACTCAAAAGGGTATTAATGAGAACAATACCCTCATCAATCGCCCGGGATTATTAAGTATCCACATGCCCGCATACTATAGCTCGATCGTCAGAGGTGTTTCGACAATCATGGTGTCGTACTCTAGCTGGAATGGGGTTAAAATGCATGCTAATCATGATATGATCACC